CAAGGTCTTCTAACATGTATGTAAGTCAGTGCAACAAGTCGCATCTGGGCGCAGTATCTGTAGCTGGGTAATGTTAGGCTTGTAATTGCAAAAGGCATTTGCTAGAAATAGATTTTATTTTTTTTTAAAACAGATTTCACTATGTAAATATTTGTATTGTAGCACCAGCAAGACTGTTAAAATATAAAAAAAAAAATCTTTTTTAGATTCTTTTAATTATAGTATATCTTTCTTTAATACTATTTCTTTCTTGGATGAATAAAAGTGAAACATATGAGCATTTGTTTAGAATGGCATGACAAATTATGTTAGATTTTTTATTTGTTAATTTTTTATATATACTTTCTAAAATCAGGTATATGATGACTATATTATTAAATGAAAACTTTAAAAAAGGAAATAACAAGTATAAAAAATAATGAATTTGTAAGTTAATTTAATAATTGTGATACATTAAAATAAAATCAGATTAAAATAAAATATGTATAGTATAAAAAATTGACAAACTATCAAAAAATAATTTTTTTTTAGAGAGCATCTTTTAGGGTTAAGAGTAAAGATTAGAGGTTAATTTTAAAGTAGAGTTTATATCAAACAAGTATAAGTGGGTTTTAGAGAGTTAAATAGAAATGCATATTTCATTTTAACTGATTTCATTATATCTGTGACAATAATTAATACTAATTTAATATTAAATTATTTTTAATAAATTTATATAATTAAAATATATGTGCAACTATTTTGAAGAATGTTTATTAGAATATAATATATCTTAGTCTTGGCTTAGTGATGATAATATTCGAATTGCAGTTGATGATGTATTTAAAGAAATGGCAGCCTTAGCAAAATTTTGTAGCATATTAAATTCTCATACATTGGTTTCTTATGAACTACTATTAGCGATTTTTACAGAACCAAATGAAAATTCTGAAATACAATTTCAATCTTTATCTAATAATGAAGCAATTATTAATGGAGCAAATAAAATATGCTATTTGCCTGTTTATGAATATAATAAATTATCAGATAATCCTTTTCTACATAAAGAGATATAAATGCAAATAAATTTTTTACTTAATAGTGATTCTCAAACTTCAAATTATATAAAATATGAATCAATTGTTAAATATAATAAAAAAATTGATTTTGAAAAATTGGTAGCCTAAAAACATTAATATGATGTATATATTTTAACCAAATTAAATAAAACATACTACAAAAAAGCA